TACAAATATTACTGACTGCTATCTTGACTCACCTTGAGCGTGTTCAGAGCCTGCAGAGCTGCCTCCAGAGCAGGTATAGCCTCCGCCAAGTCTGCTTCACACTGTAACATACCACACGAAGAATCAACACGTACAACACGACATTATGTGTCTGCAAAAAATCCGGAGAACACAGCACAAAGAATATTCCTGAGATTTAGTGCGCAACGGGAAAGATTTGAAATGACTCTTCATACGATTGTCCAAGACCACTATCATTGCATTGGCACTCACCTCTTCCTTCAGCGAGCGACTCTCTTCTGCTTGCTCATTCGCCACAGCTTCGTCCTTGCGCACAACTGCACTTTGCTCCTCCACATCCTTCGATTCTTTCGTGATTTGCTACGGCACAAAGAAGTACAGAAAGTTACTTTAGCCAAGCAAAAACATAAGACAACACTATGGGATGATGCCTTTCCTGAGCTTCAATATCCCCCCAGAGATCGCACATCAAAGTGGCATACTTGAGACTCTCGTGCCTGCTTTCCTTCATTACAAAGCAAAGCCATTCTTGCTTGACTGGCTGTGGTCGAGCACACACTCTCCATCTTTCCCCAGAATAGCATGTGAGATGTTTGTTCACAGCGGCCTCCAGAGACAATCCTGAAATAGTTGTGTCCGCACACTATGGTGTGGCACAGGGTGAAATAAACTAGTCAGTGCACGCAAAATGCGTAGCATAACTCACCACCATCATCTTCTCATTGTCTGCCTGCGCCACGACCAGTTTGGGCTGCAGGGCTTCAAGCTCAGCTTGCATATCAGCAACCTACAAGGCAAGAAGCGGGCAGGGAGAAAGCACAAGTCATTACCGGCCAGTCATCACACAAGAAGCGGGCAGGGAGAAAGCACAAGTCATTACCGGCCAGTCATCACACAAGAAGCGGGCAGGGAGAAAGCACAAGTCATTACCGGCCAGTCATCACACAAGAAGCGGGCAGGGAGAAAGCACAAGTCATTAGCGGCCAGTCATCACACAAGAAGCGGGCAGGGAGAAAGCACAAGTCATTAGCGGCCAGTCATCACACAAGAAGCGGGCAGGGAGAAAGCACAAGTCATTAGCGGCCAGTCATCCCACAAGAAGCGGGCAGGGAGAAAGCACAAGTCATTAGCGGCCAGTCATCCCACAAGAAGCGGGCAGGGAGAAAGCACAAGTCATTAGCGGCCAGTCATCCCACAAGAAGCGGGCAGGGAGAAAGCACAAGTCATTAGCGGCCAGTCATCCCACAAGAAGCGGGCAGGGAGAAAGCACAAGTCATTAGCGGCCAGTCATCACACCCAACACATATACTACATGTAAACGTATAGACTTACATCATGAGCCAAAATCATTTTCGTTAGTTTATCTCATCGGACCTTTACTTTGAAGTTTGAAATATGTAATACTCGATCCACCCCACATACACTTTGTCTTGAGTGATATAGCAGTTCCCCAACATTTACTTACCTGAGATGCGGCAAACTCCAACTTCTCCAGACCAACTTCATAACGAGCCTTCGCTCGCAACACTTCATTGCGGTTCTTCTGCAACAAGCCCTTGAACGATGATATGAGCTCAAGGTATGATGTCGGGGTTGTGTAATTGTGCCGACCAAGATGTTCCAGAAACCTATAAGTAAGTTGGAAGAGAAGTTGGAAGAATAGGTCAAACGATTTGTAGTTCTAACCACCAGTAGCTGTCTGCAGATACAAGTGCAGCCCCCCCCCCCCCCCCCCCCCACACACACAGACATAACTAAGCCCAGGCAGCTAATGCCATGCTTTCAGAAAGATCACTGGATACCTGCAGTGCAGTGGCACAAACATCCTGATAGCTCAAAGCAAGAACTACCATTAAAAAGCACTTCTTTCCCTGCAAATGACCTACTTTTCGGACAGAATGCGAGTGCTCTGATGGAAGTGCTTGCAGACGGCCACGATCTCATTGCGTTCCCTGTCCTGCATTTCAACCGACTCCAGGAACTTGACTGCTACCATTTCTAGAGCATCCTCGGGCCAAGCCTGACAACAGAATACGAACAAAAGGCCAGTGTTGTCTCCATGGTATATAGATAGGGAAACTACACACACAGACACCAATATGTTTACACAAGACTGCTTCAGAAAGGAACCTGATTCCATTTCATGAATGTAGACGATGTGGAATGTAAACACTACTGCAAAAGCGTAAGAAGAGGCTTGTCAGAGTACGCTGAGCGGAACACTGGATGTGACACTGAAGTGAAACAATATCAACAACGTGTGAATCATGACTTTTCTATGAGGGCTTCAACCCTACTCCTTTCGGTAAACATCTGGAGTTGGATTGGAAGTTACATTTATCAACTGCAGGATCAACAGACAAATGATTCAATACTTCCGGCAATTTTGGGTTCAAAGTTCTGTCTCAACGACACATGAAGTCAAGTATTAAGACATAGCTGCAGTCATACCTGAAACCAATCGATCGTACAGCAGTTGATGAGAGACGGGAACTGGCGCATGCGATTGCGGAACGCGCTGCCAATGGGGCTGAATGCCAGGATGATGTGCAAGCGTTCTCGGCACCTGTTCACAAACATGCTGAACAGTGCCAGCGGCGAGAAGTCCGCATTCTTATCCTCTTTCTGGGCAATCGGGCGAATAGCCTGCAACAACAACACAAAGAGCAAGACGAAGACTTCATAGAAAAGAAAAAGGACCAAGGAACTACAAGTTACGCCATAATGTCCACTAACACCACCTGTTCCTAAACAATCAGCTCATGCGATAACATTGTATGGCACTGACCGACGGTACTGACGTTCTACAACTAACTGGCTAACAGCTCTAGCACCTCTAGTTCATTGGTCCTTTTTCTTTTCTATAAAATTATCCTTGACTCTCCATCCAAGAGCCCTTCAATTCGATACGTGTCAAACATGGATAGCGGCAAACAACACCGGTCAAAAGTCAACAAAGAGAACGTCACGATGGAGACTTATCTAAGCACTCGCAGACTCCAGTGAGATGTAGACTTACTTCGATTATTTCTTGCTTCTCGTCAACTGCAAACAGGTTTGGCACTTCTCCGGAATTCAGCAAGCTGTCTACATCCTCCAAGAACCGTTCCTCCTTGATCTGAGAATCGCTGAAGAGAAAAACGGTTGGTTTTCCCGTCTTGCCAGCGGATAGAAGGATTTTCTGCACACATCGGGTAAACAACCGTACATAAAGATTAAAAAAAATAGAGAACAAGAGATCCATCCCATTGGAAAGCTCTTGTTCAAGGGTGTGAGGTACACTAGAACCAATACTGTGTCTGTATTGTGCAAACATAGAGAAACATAAAACTGAGAGGTAGAAGGGGCCAGTTCAGATGCAATTTGTATGCGTGTATGCCGGGGCAGACACCACATTGTTTGACACATACGCAGTCACAGGCATGCATGTACTAGTATTTAAATCTGCAGTGCCTCGCCACATGTACTACACAGAAATGGCGAATGCATTTCACGTGCCATAGTTGCAAGCACTGCACACAAAAGAGTGTAGATAGCACACCATGCCGTCGTGGTCATCGTCGACATACCTTAAGGTCATCATGCCATTCCGGCACGCTGTAGGCCTTGGTGATCTCCGGCTGGAAGAGCGCAAAGTCTCCCATGGCTGCCGCCAGTCGAGTCAGCGACTGGCGGCCTGAGCCACCGACGCCGACAAGCAATGCGTGACCGCCGGGCGTTTTGAGGATGCGACTGATGCGAGATAGATGCTCCATGACGTATCTAAATGAATACGGGGAAAAAACAGCCAAGAATGGGGAAGGATAGTACCATGTTAGATAACCCGCAGCCGTAGCCAGCTTGCAGTGATCAGCTCTTCAAAGTTCTCACCAGAAGTTGCCTACAAAGTAATGGCACGACGAGAACCTGGGATACACGAAAAGTGCACCTGGAACATACTGTTATGCGCGTATATACGGTAGTTGGCACGCACTTATATTCGAATACAAGGGCATCTCCACATATAAAGGCATGGAAAAAAACTCAAGAGCCAAGAGTGTATTTTTGAAGACTTGAATACATGTACTTGTATTGAAAGACATGCCCTTATATCCGGAACATAAGCTTCCTGGTGAAATGGAAAAAACGCATTTTTCCGCATATACGGGCATGCACTTGTATGTGGGTGAATACGGTAATAAAAAGGAGAAGGACAAAATGTTACGAGTTATGACTAACTGTCCACCAACGTAACCAGATCTTATACAGTCAGCGAGTGCGACAAAATGGCACAAAACTGGCAAGGAGTACTGAGACACCATCACCATCCGAGTTGAATACGGTAATAGCTTGACAAACTGGAGCAGAGTGGCATTGGTCCGCACAAAATTGAATTCCTTCCTGCTAAACCAGGCCTTCTGAGCTGCAAATCTCATGCACACAAATAGCACGCACCTGAAGATGACTAAGTCCATTCTGTTCTTGTGCATGTTATTGTACTCTTCCAAGCAGGTCTCCACTACACTGGAGAAGTCTTCCAGCGAGGACACCTCTTCGTACAGGCGAGGGTCCTGCAACAAAACACGGGTATTGCAAAGACGAGGCAGAACGCGACATACGAAGCACCGTACATGATTTGGACATCAATCAAGACACGGTAAAGCAAGGCAAAGTGCGGTCCACGCACCTATCATGTACATGTACACATAACAGCTTCACAGGATCTGTGCAGCCAAAACAATGTGTTCTTCAGTTTCAAACGAAAATCCAATGGAAGAAAAAGTGATTAAAAGTCTCTACTCACGAGTTTCATGCTGAAAATCAATCATCAGGAGACTGGGGCTATAGTCAGGGTTGTGTGGTCTTATTCACTATAGCTGTTGTCCAATGGCAGGTATGCAATGCTAGTGTTTCAGCGAGAAGGCAACGTAAGAGATCAGTATAATTATAGTACTATGCGGTGTTCTTCAGTTTCAAAACACCCCGCCCTCATGGCACGGATGCCAGGTGAAAACAAGAAGCAGCAACAGCCATAACATTACTCACGGCATCGGGATTCATGTAATCGCCAAACAAAAGACTTCTCATGTCATCCTCTGATGCCTGCAAGGACAAACATCCACAAAACGCACAAGAACTTGCAGTGCAGCTCCTAGCACTTTCTCTGGTAACTAAAGCTTGCCTCGGTGTGAGCGATGAAAACATGTCAAATTCTAGTTTACGAAGGAGTTGATCATGACCACCACTTGTAGTCATGTTCTAGCTCTCATACACACATCATTCCATCTTCAGAATGTCCACTCCATCTGTGTCAGTGTCGCCCTCCTCACCTCCGGTCGCCTTTATAGCAATGGTGTTACTAAGAATGCTAGTGCAACCAAGAGTACTTGAAGCTCAGGGTGTTCAGTTTGAGACTTTCCTGCATGGGTGTCTGTAGCGGCGAAATTCTGGGATTTTATCATTCTTCGTGCAGGTAATCGGTGGGAAGTGATGCAGTGCGTACAACTGAGTTGCAGTCGTGCAGAAAGAGATCTGCTTGAATCCTGCTTCCACGCACTACGATGATGTAATCCCGGAATTTCGCCGTAACACCCACCCATCCGAGCTGCACACTCTGGGTTACATGTACGGGTGCCCACGGTCAAAGATACACGTTTAGTGCACCTGGGCACAACGATCTCAACGGGCAAAACAAACTGAACGTACAGCCAGCACGGCACCTACCTCCCTGCCCGTCTTAGATGCCAGGTGCTTGAACACGTCGGAGTGGTTCTCCTTGAAGTGGACCTTTACCAGGTCCTTCACGGTTCTAAAGAGCAGACACAAGCAACGGTAACAGCCAGGCAATGTAAACCTGAAGTGTTTCCAGGCCTGGAGGACATTGATGCTAGCAGTGTCCTAAGCTACACTTGTGATGCTTCTTTCAGCACATCAATAATGAAAATAAGTGGATAACAACCAGCAGTTAATGTGTGCAGTGTGGTTCCAGCACCTGAATGCCAGCAGCTACTCGTACTACTCACGTGTGTAGCCAGGCCCTGTCACTGTCATCCACAAGACGATCATAGAACACCCGGAACACTTCGTGCGCCCATAGCCTGTGTTGCATGAACAGAGAAATATACCATCAGCATTGAGAACAATGCCAGGTACGGGAACATTAAAGGGGAACTGTCACCAAAAAATTTCTTTGTCTTATCTTGTAGTTCTTTGGCTCCTAATCACGATGGTGTTATTCGTTTTTCTCTGCGATGACTGGAAGTGGGTGAAAACTTGAAAAGAAGGTGCCCAAAATTGTCCCGAAGTACCGAGTGACGTCACGCCGGACTTGACCTCCACGCGTACATTCATCGTCAAAAACGAAGTCCAGCCCATGTGCTGGTCGATCGAGCCAACTGTTCAATGTACGGTGCACGCTTGCCTTCTGAACTCGGACACTGATGTGTACGTTGTACACAATGAGAACGCCAAAAAGGGACAAAACAAATAAAAGTCGACAGAAGTTTGTCGCACTGGTACTTCCTCCACGAAGCTCCAGCTCTTTGTTTTATTTGTGAACGAAGGAGTGGAAGGATGTGTGTTTGGTGTTAGTGTGACACACATACCTCGTACTTGAAAATTATGTCGTTGTATCGAAGGTGGCGGTGTTGCCCACCCGGCTCTGAAATGAAAGACGTCGGAGTTTGTCATCTGCATCTTCAGCAACATCGCCAGATGAATCGCCTTCACGTAGCTACATTGCGTTCCTTTGGGGCTCGGGTTGGTGGTGTTGTCGCCGGCCGGAGGAGTACTGTTTTCGGCATACGCGCTCATCATCGTGTTGTTCCTCACACGAAAAGTTCAAAACAACGACGTACTTCCGTGCTCACAAAATTAAAAAAACTTAGATCCTCGCGGAAGAAGTCAAAAGGTGAGAGCTCAGCTGCTTTTTATTTTGATTTGGCTGTGTAGCTGCACGTGGGTCTCTGCCTCTTTGGCATTCTCCTTCGATACGACGTACCCATCTGTGTTAGAGTTCAAAAGGCACACGTGCACCGTACATCGGAACAGCTAGCTCAATCGACCAGCACACGAGCTGGACTTTGTTTTTGACGACGAATGTACGCGTGGAGGTCAAGTCCGGCGTGACGTCACTCGGTACTTCGGGACAATGTTGGGCACCTTCTTTTCAAGTTTTCACCCACTTCCAGCCATCGCAGAGAAAAACGGATAACACCATCGAGATCAGGAGCCAAGGAACTACAAGATAAGACAAAGAAAATTTTTGGTGACAGTTCCCCTTTAAGCAATTGCCTCAAAGAAAAAGAAAAAAACACAAGTTCCCAAGATACAGCTTATTCAAAGACGAAAATGAAATCCAGCATGTTGCATGTTTGTTACTATTGTAATAAAGCATGGTCACCGCACAGTTAGCACTCTTGATTGCCATTTTAAGTTGCTGTCTCCGAAACGCTTGTTTGAAAAATGAAATTTTGGAACCAACCTACAACCCGGTATTATGCCTACACACGCTGGTTCTGAGGAAGGATGGGACAGTGAGAACACAATGAAGAAAACTGTTTCCGTACCTTATCATGACTTTCCTGTTTTCCACCGACTGCGGTTTGACCAACAGTACACCCATGATAACACGCGAGAAGTCACGCAAGTTGAACACGTAGTGAGACTTGGCCGGTGTCGGCAGGAGACTGTCCATAGCGCGCTTGTACATCTGCAGAAAGCGGCCACAAGGGAACAGATGATACCATCACACCACAAATGTAACTGAACTGATTTGAGGATACGCTTCTGATGCAGATGTAGAGGTCATCGTAAAGTGCCCGATGCACATTGGAGTGTGCTGCTCGTGCATGGCAGGACTTTGAAAAGCAAAACTAGTTGCATACAAAGATGAGGCTGGCATGCAAACAGAAGACTTATTCGCTTTTTCCGATGCCCCAGGCCTGCTCAGAGAACAAGAGAGTGTGTGGGTGATCAATAACACAGGGTGCATTCGAGAGTGTGGATGATCGATAGCACAAGTACATACGCCTGCTGAAACTCCATACCTCCATAGTGGCTGCCACTATCTGATTTCCAACAACCTGGTATTCAGTAGTGAACCTTTCCAGCTGCAAAAGTACAAGCAACAGGAAAAGAGAAATACCGTCAGCCTACCAAATATTTCTTCTTGGTTCGATAGCATTGAAACAGTCAACATCACCATTAAATCGTAAGGTCATCACAACTTAACGGTCTCTGAGCTACGCCAAACAATAGCCCAGAGACCACTAGGTGTGCAATAACAATGAATAGATACAATGGGTGGCTACAGTGGAGTCTTAGCATCTTGAGATATGTGATCACAGCTGTAAACGATGTACTGTAAAACATGTAATTTTAGGTGGATTAAAATTTCGGTGCCAGGGACCTGACAGGTTTCAGGCGTAATGTAGAAATAGGTGACAAGTTAGCTTTCCCATCACATACAGTGCATACTCTAGAGGCTTTTAGGTGGATTTTAAATTTAGGTGCCTGGTTTTTCTGCCAAAATCACCGAAATTAAAGTTACACCGAAAATAACATGTTTTACAGTATTACAATACCATTGCATGTACATGTATGCATTAACATGACACAATTCTGCTTACTCTCATTTGATAGGAGACGATGGCAGAGAAGATACGCGTCATGGTGTCGTCATCGAACGTGGTGATGTTGACAACATTGAAGTGGCGCACAAAGCGAGGTGAGATCGGGTTGCGACCGCCGCCCGGTGGGCCCATGGCGCACAGGAACTGAATGTCCACAAGGGACAGCTTGCTGCAGTCTTTCTTGTCATACCTTTACCGGAACGTACCAGAGGAAGGAGGGCAGAGGAAAGAAGAATAAGGGAACTTTGCTGAGCCTCATGATACTAAACTTTGCCTATTTCGCTTGCTAAAGGGCCTCATTCATCACTCAAATTGTGGGCTTCCCCCAGTAAATTGCTACTAGTATGTGATACTACTCAGAAAAAGGACACACTTCAGGCTCTTTACGAACATCTTGAAAGTTTTTGGTTTCACAAGTATACTTTCAAGCCTTCTCAGACAAAGGGAAAGGAACAAGAACAGTGGATTAATTAAGCACAGTAAGGAGGTGATAAAGCAGCGCAAAGAAGAAGACAGCGAAAATAAACAGCGAAAATGCGTGACCTATACACACATAGATACCAGGTCCTAAACTCCACTAGTGGCTGAGCATCCCACCATGCATCAACACCTCAGAAAAGCTCAGGCACAAGATTCAGAGAAGGTTCAACTCACCATGAGCCATGATCCATCCATTGTCGCAACAGCTCAATGGGGGGCTGAGCACCATACTTCTCGCGCAATGGCATGTTTAGATCGTCCACAAAAATGATACTCCTGCACGGACACAAGCAAGGAATGCAAGCAATCGCACATCCAAATGTATCAAAAGGGTTCATGACTCTCTGGCACTGGTCACAAGATGAAAAAAGGAAAAATGCGACCACGCCAGGATTCGAACCTGGAATCTCCTGATTCGTAGTCAGGCGCCTTATCCGTTGGGCCACGCGGCCAGTCACATCAACTAAACCAAGAAATAATGGAAATGAGAGTGCTATTACACCCTATAGACTGACAAGCACAGAGCCAACAAGACCTTCCCGTAGGGAGCCAGCATTCCGACCCGACGGAATTCTGCCATACTCACTTCTTCCCCATTTGTGGTCCGAAAATGCCCTTTCTTCTCTTGTCCAGCTTGGACATTATGATGTCCTGTGAGATGAGTGTGTAGACAAGAGAGGAGTAGAACAAGAGGTCATATCAGTTCAGCCTTATCAAAATTCCCTGAGGAACCAACACATCCACACACCAAATAAGCTTGTACCAGACACAGACGCAAACTTAGCATGCATTGGGGGTTTGCGCAAAGCGTGCCTGTGCCGAAAGAGTTGCAAGTACAGTCAGACCTCGCTTAACCGCATACATCCGTTTTCAACAAAAATATCCGGATAGGCGAGGGAACCGGATAATCGAACACACATACTGTACATGTATGCATGCATGCCATATGCTGCAAATCGGTAACCAACAATTTTCTTCCGGATGGCGAGGGATCCGGATAAAAGAGGACCGGATAAGCGAGGTCTGACTGTACCATCAAGAGTAGATAATCCCCCAGGAGTGTGCAACTGCCTGCACAGCCTCTATACAGTGCTGCGACGGCAGAACTTCACATCACGTGACATAGTTCAAAGGGTGACGCTGACAAACAGTCCAAAGTGACCACAAGAGAGTTGAACCCAAAGCAGGGTTGCGTACAACCCTGCATCTATCATGCACAGGGTGCAAATTATGTGTACAGGTTCGAAACGTGATGTGAAGTTCTGCCGTCGCAGACCCCATAGCTGGAGTTGCACACTCTTGGGGGTTATGTACTCTTGGTACCATACATACACAAGTTGCTATGCCTAACATAGCAACATAGCGTGTTCGCTATCATCGCTTCAGCGATGGGCAGGAGTATGAGTATGAGTATACATACACGTACTTGCAACATCGATGTCAAACTACAAGCGCGGTCCGGGTAACGCATCAACGCGATTGCCGTCTTGAGCTAACTGCTTTTGTTACAAGCAGCATGCAGGACTGGCAAGCCCAGTATGAATCCTGTCCACAAGCACTACAAGTAGCTAGGGGCTGGAGTTCCCCTGCAAGCGAGTAGTCTTGAGTGGTCTTGGTCCTCAGGTTCTTTTTCCGTTCGGTCGACCATGGCTTCCAGGAGCACTTTTAGCTCGGCGACCTAAGTCTGGCGTCTGGGCCTATTTGAGCACAGACAGGCGAAGCACTGTTGTAAACTGTGTTCGAACACATATTCAAGGCTAAGCGGAACGAGCAGCTAATAGAGAGATCCTTAACTGAATAACGGTATCGTTAACTTTTTCGGTACTCACTCCCAGCCGTGACAAAAGACGTTACACAGTAACGGAAAACGTTACAGAGCTCGGAATAACGGGCCGACGTTCGATATGGTAATCCTGAACAAACCTCAAAACTTCACCGTGATGCCACATGGTTTTTCCACTGGCGGGAGATATAAACACGTGCAGATGCGAGATCGATTCCTCTTTTAACTTAAGTATGACTTGTTGCTTTGTTGAGTACTGGCACCAGTTCTCAGCCTGCGACCTCTTCTTCGCCCCCTCTATCCCCCTCTATCCCGTCTATCCCATCTGGGAAACAGAGGACCTGGTTCACTGCTGAGGAGGAAATACTCCGAGGCTATTCCGAGAAGTTCTTGCACGGGAGAACCCTTACTGTCATGGTTATTGCGCGTGGGAAAAAGTTTGTAAAAAACGGAGTACCAGCGGAAAACCATTTCGCCGCGTCTCTGCCGTGACTGGGTGAAGGACTCGGTCAAGGAGTTCATACGAAACGGCAACAAGGAGAGGGTGAAGTAAGTACATGCAGCGTCATTTAGCTTTGTAGAACAGACACGCACACATGGAAATTGAAAGGATGATAAACTTGTATGCGTACTCATGTTCTAGCTGCGATCAGTTGAATGATACCTGTTATGGTTACTCTTTTGTGCATTCATTTTTAGGACTGGTGTGGAGGAGGAGTACACGGAACGTGCTCAGCTATTGTCCGAGCTGCGGGAGGTCTATCAGGTGGAGGAAGACAAGAAAGAGGAAACCACCAAGGCAAACAAGTGAAAAGATGCAGACACGCCCATGGCAAAGGAGATGGTCGAAGCCTGGAAACACACATTTCCTAAGGTGTTATACTTGCACGAAATGTTATGCTGTTGCCAATTCGCTAAAATAGAAATGTTAACGGATGTGTGTCTACTTTTCTCATACCTTTCTTTGTGCAGACGGTGAGGATTAGAGTGAGGAAAAGAAGCCGGCTAAGAGGAGAAGGATGGATGTAGCAGAAGAAGTTCGGAAGAGTTAGCTTAGTCGCAGGCGATGGGTACCCTAAGCTCCTGGGTTGCAACCAATGCATCGCCCCAGTCTCGTCCGTGTTCATCTGATCGGTCTGAACAGCTGACAGACTTGCTCACGATAGCCTTGGTATGATGGAGCCTTATGTGATTGATGTTTTGCGTAGATGCAATTTCATTGAACAGAGCAGCAGCGAAATCTGACAGTTCTTTGTCATCACGTCGTAATTGTCCTTGACGAGGTGTGACTTATAAAGGAAATCCACCATATCCAGTAGATTAAGATTCGATTTGTCTGTAACAATCTCCTCTAACGGACTTTTCCTTAGGTTTTCTCGATATGAGGACCTCACGCTTGATAAAGACTTTCCTCTGCATACGCTGACACCATCCGTAGTTTTTTCCGCTGACCATCACCAGTTTCTCGTTTGAAAGATAACGAAAGCGTGGAAAGCAATCAAATCCGTCCGTTGATGATACCATATAGGCGTTTTGTAAATATCGACCCAGATGATAGTCTCTTCTCCAAGAAGGGGTTTGAGATAAGTTTTGATATCGGTGTAGTCGATTCTCCAAGCACCCTGTCCGATTTTATTCACATTCGGGTGGAAGTACACAGCTCTGTCATAGTGTTGTACGTAGTTTAGCTGCAAGCTGTTCACACGCTGATTGCATGCTGTCTGCACGCTTTTTGCCTGGTTACTGCTAAGATTACGTGTCCGTGCCTGGGTACGTGCCTGGGTCCGTTTGGGTTATAACGCGTGGCCCTGCGCCGTTTTCCTGGTCTTCCGTTTTCCTGGTCTTCCGTTTTCTGTAGTCGTCGCAGCTCCTCGTGTTGGGTCCGTTTTATTCTCTCTCTCGTGGTTTTCTGCCCTTTTGTTACTCTTATCGTTTCCGTTGTCCTCCTGAGCCCTGCTCCTTTCCTTTGTCCCCTTATTCGTCATTTGAGGCCAAGTAAACCGTATCAACCCGAACAATTCGTTGCTCTGTCTGACTGGTCGCGGGGGCTCAGACAACATTTGGCGCCCAATTACAGCTCGAACCCTCGACAGTTCTCTTCTCTACCAACTACGATGCAACGTGTTTATTACGAACCGATGCCAGCCACTCTCCAGCTACTGGCCGCGAATGTGGCAAATCGTCTGCTGTAACGTCACCTCCCGCACCCGCAACATCACCACCCGCACCCGCAACACCACCACCTGTACCGTCGTTAGCACCACCGAATTTGCGTATAAGCTCTAAAAGCTTGGATGAGATGCTCTTACATGATTTGCAAGCTGTTGAGCAAGACATGATGAGAGCGCGAAATTCTTATGCAACCCTGCTGCGGGGTTACTCCTGATGACTCACATTCGATGTACGTAGAGGCCTATATACCACCTATTGGAAAAATTTCTCTGCAACCAATCTGCATTCACCCCGGATTGGATCACCGATTCTGTGCCCCCACTCTCCATCGCTGGTGATGTTGGACTCGTGGCAACTTTGAATTTCACGAAACCTAGTTACAATAATAATCGTTTAGCCGATAAGCCGATCTTTATGGTATCAGCTAAGCCACTAAGGAAACAAATGTAATCGTTTCAGCACCTAGATAGGTAGGTCGGGCCAGGCAGCAATCCTTTGCCATGGGCGAGCTCTCCAGTGAGGCGCAGATGGAGCTACCCTGCTCCCTCCCGGGGATAGAGCATGGTCTCCTAGCAATAGATGATGTGCCAAACAACGTGCAACTAGACTTGGGAGGGCATTGCAGAGTAGTTGCATACAAAGTTCAAAGTTGTACGGGTACCTGTGACTTGTATTCCTGCAGACCTCAGGGCCTACCATGTACACATTGTAGTATAATGTGTATGCAACTTGTGTGCGATGCCCTCTCAATTCTAGTTGCACGTTATTTGGCATATCATCAATTTCGCAGACGCTGACAACCCTAGCGTCAGAGTATGCTGACCGAAAAGTGCAGATGACCCGCAAAATCGGCGAGCTAGCGGCCCAAGTGAAGGATCTCCAAGAGGAGCTAGTTGCCCTAAAAAGTTCCAGTTCGTGAGGTTTGAGGTTCTCGAAAAAAAAGAACGACAGCACATGAAACGATCCTCACAACATGTATGGAGACAGTGGGTGACTACAGAGGAGCCTACGTATTTTGAGATACGCACACTAAACAAATAGCGAAAGACAGCGTGGCCTCAAGTTACCCAGGCCAGCACTATTCGACCTACCTGTGTCTGCATGGCAGTCGTTCGTGCAGAGAAGTTGATGAAGAGCGGCAGGTAGATGTCCTTGGGCAGGCCGTTCATCAGCTTATCCTTCACGTACACAGACTTGCCCGTTCCGGTCGGGCCCAGCAGTAGCATTGGCAGGTTGAACTGGCAAGCAAGCTCCATCAAATACGTGTATCTGTGCCATACAACAAGGGACAAGAGGAAAAGCCGCCATCCAGCTTACCAGAGTTTTTTTTTGTTTTTGTTTTTCTCCTCCCCTTCTCCCTTCCTTGCTGTGGTTGGCTAACACCCTCTCTCTTTGTATTGGCCGGTGTTCTCACTGTGCTATGAGATGCTGTAATAAATAAATAAAATAAATAAATAAATAAAGCGGGAGAGTACTACCCTCTATTTCAGGAAAAAATCAGTTTTGAGTTTAGGACAGCATGAGCTAGCTCTTCATAAGGAGCAACAAGTAGACTCGGACACCTGATAACTAGAACATTGATCCAGTTTAAAATCTTGTAGGGCGCATCACGCAGGTGATGATGATGGTTATTTTATGACCGAAACGTTGAATTGAAATTTTTCTGAAATGAATTTGTGAAAAGCAGTGATCGAGTGTGAGTCAGTGTGGCTCACATGCCAAAATTGATCCAGTTATCAGATCTAAACGGGTGACAATTTCATTTTCCAGGAAAATTTCTGCAGGGAGCAGCACAGTATACCTACCACAGGCACTGTCGAGTAGACAAAGGCAACAACAACAACACAACGCACCTTGATGTGTCCATGGTTGGAACAATGATGTCGCTTAGGCGCACATTGGCCCCACCGATGGCATTGTCACGGACCGAATCCAGCCATGATGCCCAGCGTCCTCTTCCCTTCAGCTGTGAACAAAAGAAGCAGCCGTAAGCAGATATTTGCTGAGATAGCTATTTGAAGAAATATAACGTAAAAAACAGCGCCTCCACGAAAACCAATGCACCCATTTACACGTGAAGTTTGTTGGAAGTTGAGTGGTGGAGCAAAATTTCGTGCAGGACTCCAAGTAGTATTCCAACACAGACACACAGACACATGGACACACACACACACACGCGCGCGCACACACACGCATGCACACATGCACACACGCACGCACACACGCACACACACACACACACACACACACACACACACACACAAGGGCCATATCAAACAAGCCAATCGGGGGGGGGGGGGGGGAGGAGTACTTACCTCAAACACAAAGTCGAAAACAAGGCCCTCAGGAGGCATCGGCACTTCAATCTTTCCAACCTCAGCAGGTATGGGATGAAGCTCCACGGCACCGGACAGAATCTCCCGCAGGAAAGTATTAAACTTGTCTCTGCTGTTTGAGTCGACGCTAGCACCAATCGACCAAATTGTACTGAACATAAACGTTCCCTACACAGACGAGTAGACACATATGTAGGGTATTAAAATTCAAACACATGTGACACAGAGCACTAATGCAAAGTAAACTTACAAAAGAGCAATGAAAGTTGACAGATCGTGAAAATTACTAAAATCACAGTTCAATAACAACAATCAGTATTGTGATGGCTTCACAAAACAATACATCAATTTGACAGAAATAGTTTCTTACAACAATCCAGTTCTTGAGGTTCTTGTTCTCCTTCACTTCCTTGTTTTCGTCCTGCGTGTGCGGCAACAGGATGACTTTGAACAGCCGCAGAAGAGAGCGCACCTGATTGGCATCCTGGACATGGACCATTTTCTGATGACAAACAAGGCGGCACAAACATGGATAATGAAGCACAGCCTTACAAAACGCACACACGCACGCGCACGCGCTCACCCAGTTTGTTTATAAGAGCTATGGCAAATTTGAATAGCACGAACAGACAGTAACCCGACTTAGTATTGCCATACCTTGCAGTTTTTGTAGTTGAAACGTAGCATTGGCTTGATAAGCCAATTGACCAGTGCCCAGATGAGCTTGGAGTAATCCTCGCGGAGAATTGCTGGCAACGTCTTCATCCTAAAGGTAGCGAAGCAGCAGAACCGAGCCACGCACATACACTTGTGACGTACCACTATGACAAAAAGCTAAGCACTAGACTGAAGAGACTTCAAGTGTCAGAGAGCACCACTAAACAAGATTTTCCTCGGCAGAAAAGGAACATTTTACAGAGGAAAACTTCTTCACATCATGTCTAATCTTGGTAGCTAAAACAAGGCATGCCACGCATGACAACATGGACTGTACAATGTGGCGCGAGTACATGGACATGTTCTGCAGAGGAATTCGCCCATTTTCAGTCTGAAATCTAGGGGCAAAGATGACAAACTCCTTCCTCACACTGCCAGGGAGTATTCCAGAGTGGCAGTCTAAACCAGGCAGGACTATATCAGTCTAAACCAGGCAGGGCTATATCAGTCTAAACCAGGCAGGGCTATATCAGTCTAAACCAGGCAGGGCTATATCAGTCTAAACCAGGCAGGGCTATATCAGTCTAAACCAGGCAGGGCTATATCAGTCTAAACCAGGCAGGGCTATATCAGTCTAAACCAGGCAGGGCTATATCAGTCTAAATCAGGCAAGGCTATATCAGTCTAAACCAGGCAGGGCTATATCAGTCTAAACCAGGCAGGGCTATATCAGTCTAAACCAGGCAGGGCTATATCAGTCTAAACCAGGCAGGGCTACCTCATGAACAGTGGTAGCAGTGCCGAAAGAGCTTACCAAGACGTTGCCAGCGGCTCCCAGCCAAACGTACTCGGTTCCAGGTAGATCATTCCACAGCGACTCACTGTGGCTGGCTGTAACAATAAAAGAGAAATTGCAGAAACCCCAGCTCTAAAGTTAGTGATGTCTCAAAAGAAACTTGCCGGCAATCTGGATTGAGCATTGAACTACATGGACATGTACACAGTCAAGACAATCTCATCCTACCACTTTGTCTTACTTGCAGCTAGCGTGTTTAAAGCAAGCATATTCTTAGCCCATCACGCTCTGCCCACAAACTACCATCCCCAGTCGGACTAGATAACCATCTTGTCGATTTTCTGTCTCTCCATTTACTTCACTCATTTACTTTCTCCAACATCCCTGTCTCCCTATTCACTACTTCTGGATACCCTGTTTACACACCATCACATATTAGCAATGATATTATTCCTCAGCTTTGGGGTTATTGCCACACAGCCTGCCATATCTCTATGCTTGCCTTGCGATTTCCAAGCTTCTTCCGACTGGAGTTTGTGCGCTGTTCGCCCCTCCCCCTCCCCCGGTATTCCCCTGCCTCCCTTGTATCTGCCTGCCTCCCCGTATCCCCTGCCTCCCCATATGGCTTTGCTAATGCATTCCTTTGCTCTCATTCTTCATCGTGCTAGGCACTTTGTCCGTTCAGCTGTTAGCAAAATAAAGCATAACACTACTACGAAATTGTCGCAGTTTGACTAACGACCTGTTACTGACAACTCCATAAGCTAAACCATACAAAAATTATTACACAGGATGATAGTCTGAAGTCTAGAGTAACGTTCCAGGACAGTTGAACTGAGAAATTTACACGGAGATGAAGGCCTCGTCGTCGCTGATGTCAATGGACGAAAAAATATCGTCCCGCAAATTTTCCAGGAAGGTTGTAAGTTGGTCGCGCCTCATTTGAGTGAATGGCTATAAGCGCGAGAAATGTGCAGGCTGCAACGCCTGACTGATCTCAGTGAGTCGAAAGTACCATTGGAGCGACATCAGCGAAGAAATTGCGTCTAGTTCAAAATTATCAGCTCCCAACAACAGAAATAGAACTTAGCCGTCGCCCTATACTGATGACTATCGTCTACCTGTGGTACGACTGCTGGTGAGTATATACCCCGTTTTATATCAAAAGTCAAACTGCGACAATTTCGACGACGCGGAGGAAGTACAGCTATTAGGTATACAGCAGCCTCTCCAACAAAGACACTGAAGCAAAAGTAATGACTCGTACTTACCGAGGCTTGGGCAAGATCAGCGCACTCGAAGATCAAGCTCATCTGGTTTGACATCTGGATGATTTCGCCGCTCATCAGACACAGCTGCAGTTTGAACAGAGACATGGGAACAACATTGTTCTCCAGCGGGCGTTCCTTCCTTACAAGCAAAGTGTAACACAGGAAAAGTGACCAAACTGGCCACAGATACTGACGCGTTTGTTCGCATTACAGGGGTTTGGGTGGCTCACCAATGAAAGCCAAACAAGGGTGATTGCAGTATATTGGTTCAAATGACCCCAACGGGTCCAGTGACTTTGCTCCTGGTGCTCTGTACAGTGCAGTGCAGCGTACCACAACACAGCAGAACATACCTTCTTGTTATCATCAAGCACAGTGTTCATGCTCTCAATCCAGAGAGTGTCGATGGGCCCGTCGAAGATCACCCAGAAGCGGTCGTCATTGGTGGCAGATGCAAATTCACGGAATGTCAGGGCGACAATACCATCGGTCCACTAGAAAACAGTGATACAAAACAAAAGGATATTTCAGCTGAGTAAGAAAAGGAAGACAATCTCACCATACAGAAGCTATACCAAACCAATGGCTGCATTGTCGTGGCAAATCACGCCGTGAAAATATTAATATTAAACAACAGAATCTTGCTCTGCCTTCTGCACAAGGATCCTTTACTATGCACTACCAAGACGACCAGCAGAGTGCTCCTACTGTGCACCTGAAGTTGCACTGAACCTGTGTTTGGCAATTAAAAACACATGTTCAAACGCATGTGACAAAAATAGTGATGAGATTGCTTGGGTCACGAGATGACTGGTCTCATGACATAAGGCAGGTGGTCTTTCAACACAGGTTCATTTGTATTCAACACAATTGAGGGTTGGGTTCTGAAATGACTGGTCTCATAAGACAGGTGGTCTCATATCACAGTGGCCACTAAACTCAGGTTTCACTGTATCCACAAATATGTTCGAATCCAGACTAGACTACAGTCCTGCATAAATTTCTGCTTCCTTTTCACAGAAAGCCCTGGCGAAGGTGAATGTACACGAATGAGGTGAGAACTACTACATGTATCGGTGGCGTGCCTTACCTCGTGTGAGACGGGATCGAACTGGCCGAAGAGTTGCCCCATTGTCACGGACTTCGGGTTGACAACTCGGTAATGTACCTGGACGCAAACACACACACCACCATCGGCACAAATCATACCAGTGACGTCGTTACAATAGAGGCAGTACTTGCTGAAACAACTACTTGCCTATGCCATGAACCATCCATTGGAGCAATGCAGGTTGTACTCTAAACAAGGTTTTTTAGATACGACAAGATCGCATCACACTTGCAGACCCCAGGATGAACAGTCCCTAAGCAAAACTTTACAGCAGGAAACTAGTCCTCGTGATTACGTAGTATCTTTTGGATTAAACCAAGTCTCTCTCTCTCTCTCTCTCTCTCTCTCTTTCTCTCTCTCTCCATAGTACATGCATATGTGAATAATTATCTCTACTTCATTCCTGATGATGGTCATTGTGAGCCAATGTTGCCCACAACCCACTTTTACAAATGAAGCCGCGTGAAGCATCCTACAGGATTCTAAAAAAACAAGCCCTGTCAGAAGTAATTTTCTGTCATGGAGTGTTGTTGACAACTACACGATGGTTTCTTGAAGATTTTGTATCATATGTACTTACCCGGTTCTCTCCTAACTCTTCTCTATCCTTGAGGAGCGTCAGTGTATCGGCGAGACACTGGATGACCGTTGTTTTCGTTCCGAATGGGTCACCAACCATCATGAATCTGAAGTTTACAGCCAAAAAGAGGCATAGGAGAAACGCACCCCAGTGCATTATTACACCAGTAAAATAAAATGATGGTCATACAATCAGTGTAGACATGGCACCATGATTGTTGTGTATGCAAGGTGTTTCTGCATCGCACTTTGTTGATCACTGCATGTATAGCGTGCTCGATTTGATGAGTTGTTGATGTTGTTTCACCCAGGGAAAAGTACGCTTCTCGTTGGCTGATATTAAAATATGAAATAAACGAGAAGCGTTGGGGTTTTTTCGCACGGCAAACATCCACGAGGCGCGCTCTTTGTGCTTTTGTTCTTTTCTGTTACATTTCGTACATAATTATTTTTTTTATTTTTTCGGATTATAGGCTGGTTCCTAAGAACTCTACAACTCCACTGCAGCGTTTTCCTTCCAGTTGTAAACACTTCCATTCCCTGGACAGGCTCTCAGCTGCACAGAGTGAATGAACGGACTGCAGATGAAAGGTCCTTTCATCCATTTTGTGCAGCTGAGAGCCTGACAGGGAATGGAAGTGTTTACAAGTGTTATGCTGGTGTCATGGTACTGCCGTGAAAGGTCGTACAAGCGCTTTTCAGCGCAGTTTAAATCGGTCTTCTTTTTGTCTTGCATAGCAAGGGTTCCTGAATTCAACTCGGATACTGAGCCAGTTAGACATATGAAATAGAAGAAAAACACATGGGGACGAGTCATGAAGCAACTATCCACGACTGTAACAAGGTATAAGCAGTCAGAAAGTACGGTCTTCGGTCCTACCTAACCGTGAACCTCCCAAGCTAGCACTGGAGATGTTAGAGCTAGGTCTCAGGTCGTTGAGTTTCTCAGTAGCCTGTCAGTTTTGTGCCCTGTTATCACACTTTCTGACTGCTTATTATCTCGTTACAGTCGTGGACAGTTGCCTCATAGCTCGCTCCCATGTGTTTTTCTTCTGTTTTATGTTCCTGAATTCGTTTTTATTTGTTGGTAAAAAATCTTTTCACCATGCCGAGGTCGAAATAATCAATTGCAGAGATACCCTCGCAGGACGAGGTGGAACTGAGGATGCGCCTGCTGGAGCGCCAGGTCCTTCGGCTGGAAGGAAGGAAACTCTGCCAGTCGGCCTCTTCCTCTTCCTCGTCGACATCCTCCATGGCTATGACACCGCAGCGAAGTATGCCGAGAAAGACAAGCTGACCGAGCTGCTTGCCTAATAGGGCAAGTACAAGTGCCTCCGGACGGCCAAAACAAGCAAAGTCCTCTAGAAGGGCCGACAAGCAGAAGCGCTTTCGGACCAGCAATCCAAGAATGGCAGGCACTTGGAGAGCAGCCCAGCAGCCTAGCCAGGCAGCAGCTGGACCAGTGCCCAAACATGTGCACAATGCCAGGAAAATGCTAAATACCCGCCTGCACAAAGTCTGCAACTTGGGTATGGCGGAGATTCTTGGTGAAAAGTCACGTTTGAGTTTTGCTGGACCGTTCATGCGAAAGATGTTTCTGGTCACAGTCATAGTTGAAGCCTGCCTCAAAATCAGTACCAATGGATTAAACCAAGCCAGGCAGCAGCTGGACCCGTGCCCAAACATGTGCACAATGCCAGGAATATGCTAAATACCCGCCTGCACAAAGTCTGCAACTTGGGTATGGCGGAGATTCTTGGTGGAAAGTCAAGTTTGAATTTTGCTGGACCGTTCATGCGAAAGATGTTTCTGGTCACAGTCATAGTTGAAGCCTGCCTCAAAATCAGTACCAATGAACGCGCCGAATAGGGCAAGTACAAGTGCCTCCGGACCGCCAAAACAAGCAAAGTCCTCTAGAAGGGCCGACAAGCAGAAGCGCTTTCGGACCAGCAATCCAAGAATGGCAGGCACTTGGAGAGCAGCCCAGCAGCCTAGCCAGGCAGCAGCTGGACCAGTGCCCAAACATGTCCACAATGCCAGGAATATGCTAAATACCTGCCTGCACAAAGTCTGCAACTTGGGTATGGCGGAGATTCTTGGTGGAAAGTCAAGTTTGAATTTTGCTGGACCGTTCATGCGAAAGATGTTTCTGGTCACAGTCATAGCTGAAGCCTGCCTCAAAATCAGTACCAATGGATTAAACCAAGCCAGGCAGCAGCTGGACCAGTGCCCAAACATGTGCACAATGCCAGGAAAATGCTAAATACCCGCCTGCACAAAGTCTGCAACTTGGGTATGGCGGAGATTCTTGGTGGAAAGTCAAGTTTGAGTTTTGCTGGACCGTTCATGCGAAAGATGTTTCTGGTCACAGTCATAGTTGAAGCCTGCCTCAAAATCAGTACCAATGAACGCGCCGAATAGGGCAAGTACAAGTGCATCCGGACCGCCAAAACAAGCAAAGTCCTCTAGAAGGGCCGACAAGCAGAAGCGCTTTCGGACCAGCAATCCAAGAATGGCAGGCACTTGGAGAGCAGCCCAGCAGCGTAGCCAGGCAGCAGCTGGACCAGTGCCCAAACATGTCCACAATGCCAGGAATATGCTAAATACCCGCCTGCACAAAGTCTGCAACTTGGGTATGGCGGAGATTCTTGGTGGAAAGTCAAGTTTGAATTTTGCTGGACCGTTCATGCGAAAGATGTTTCAGGTCACAGTCATAGCTGAAGCCTGCCTCAAAATCAGTACCAATGGATTAAACCAAGCCAGGCAGCAGCTGGACCAGTGCCCAAACATGTGCACAATGCCAGGAAAATGCTAAATACCCGCCTGCACAAAGTCTGCAACTTGGGTATGGCGGAGATTCTTGGTGGAAAGTCAAGTTTGAGTTTTGCTGGACCGTTCATGCGAAAGATGTTTCTGGTCACAGTCATAGCTGAAGCCTGCCTCAAAATCAGTACCAATGGATTAAACCAAGCCAGGCAGCAGCTGGACCAGTGCCCAAACGTTTTGCATTAATATACAATACAGTTGAGATACATGTCGATTAGTAAAACTACTGTCATTAGATTCGGTTTCCACTCCATACTTATCATACATGTACTGTACATGTACTGTACATGTATTTGTTTCTTGCTTTAATCAGTCTGAGGGGCAAATAATAACCATAAGGCGAGGAATTGTCAACACAAGATCTTCGCAAGCAAAGGCTGTCAAGGCAGCAAATCCAGTAGCAGCATCAGGGACGATACGAATTAAATACTCCCCGGAAGAGGACGAGGCGATTCTTGCAGCCTATCCGCTCTCAAGATCTGTGCCACCGAAGCCTGCATTCATGACCTGTTTGCTGGCAAACAGAAGTGGAAAACAATGCGTTCACCGGTGGAGAGTTCTGAAGAAGAAGTGATCTGCCACAATTGTTCTCTAATGATTCTCTTCTGTATATATCCTTGGATTTCCATCCGAGTCCTTTCTCGTCTATATTATCTAATCTAATACAACAGTGGGATAAGCCTTGATAGGTTTATATCTTTACTCTTAACATTATAACCCAAACCAACTAATAAACAGCCGGCCTTGGAGGAGCTGTCCGTGTACTTGCCATCGACATCGCCGGTGCCTTTGACAAAGTCAGCCACCCCGGTCTGCTCCACAAGGCTTCAGTTTCTGGGCTACATGGTCACCTCCATGGCTGGCTGTCCAGCTACCTTCGTGACCGTCGCCTCCGGCGGTTGTAAGCGGCCAGCAGTCTCCAGCGCAACCTGTGCAGTCTGGTGTCCCGCAGGGCAGCATTCTCGGTCCCATATTGTTTCTCCTCTATGTGAACAAGTGTGAGGACCATCTTCCTGCGGGCTCCGAACTTGCCACCCATGCGGATGATACCACCCTCTACCAGTGCCTGTCTGCCACATCCGACATCGCCGACTCCACAGTGCAGCTCCAAGCCGCCGTGGACAGCGTCGCTGAGTGGGGCGCAGACTGGAGAGTGACATTTGAGCCATCCAAGTCTCAGGCGTAAGCCACCCCCAGCCATGCCACCAGTACTGTTTGCAGGAGCTGCCATCCCGGAGGAGTGGGAGATTAAGCTGCTCGGTGTCGCCTTTGATAACCAGCTGTCCTTCTCAACCCACCTCCACTCCATTGCAACCAAGGCTGCCCAGCGGCTCCACTTAATTGCCAAGGTTGCCCCCCCCCCCCCCCCCAGACGCCAGAGGTCGCACAACTGCGTAAAAGGGGTTTGTCCGCCCTCTGATGGAGTACTGCTCCTTGGTGTGGATGGGCTCCAGTACCTCCCGCTTGGACAAGATGCAGCACAGGGCGTGTTTCGTAAATGTATTACTGGCAACCATAATGAGTGTCTATGTACATGTATCAGTTGTTCAGTTTTGACTATACTGGAACCCCCATGTAGAGATCGCTGGATCCGCCGCTGTGGTGACATTCAATTTTTCTTCACATTTTTCCCGTTTGCGTCTTTCCCTCAAACCAGTGAAAGAAAAATCAGAAGAAGATTTACGCTTTCGCTACATCTGGGACTTTCCGAACATGCAACAATGGTTACTAGCTAACACTGGTTTCCAGAATCTTTTTCTGATATCACTCTTTCTGCTACAGAGATTTATCCGCCATGATCAGGGAGTGCTATTTTTACTACTCCTGCAGTTGCTAAAAACGGGCTGGGAGAGTAGTACAGCGGTAACACTACACCACTTGGGTGGGTCGGTGGGGGGGGCGGCGTTTTTGATCTACAGGTTTGGGTAGAAATTACTTCTTTCAGTAGATGTTGAACTCGGATGTTTCGTAGATGTGCTTGGGTTCTTTTTTCTACCCCAAATAGTAGATTCTACCTTCCTCTACCGGCTCTACCAGGTTTGAGGCTGGTAGAAGTCGGTAGAAGTTGGTAGAGGTACGGTATTTCTGTACTTGTATGGACATGAGGGCTAGTTTCCACAAAAAATACTTACTTCGTCGTACTGTAAAAGCGACGTTCTACCGAAATGGGTAGATCTGTGTCTGTAAACTACCATCTACCGTCTTCTCTTTTTCCAACATCCGCTCTACTCTACTCTACTCTACCAAGTAGACAAAAATACAAACGCAGCCTTGATGTGAGTTTTCGCCGTCGGCAAATCCCATAGATAGGGTATCAAGAGTTGCGCACTCTTGGGAGCTTCTATAAACTCTCGATAGAATGTATTACGCATGCTCGGCATTGATGGGTTATTGTTGTTGTTTCACCTAAGAAAGAAACCTACTAGGCCCTATGAGACTGGGGTTGTTGTGAGAGCATGCAAGGTTGCAGCGTAGTACATGTTAGTCCGCAAGGGGACATACCAATGATACTAGTACAAGAGACTTGTATATCATGCTCTTGATTTAGGGCGCTGCACTGTACATGCATCCACCTGTTGACCTTCAAACAGAGCTACCCCGGCGCATGGACGTGCATCAGTAGAGGAATGCTTACCCGTGCCGCACGATCATCATTTCGTACATCTGCACTAGCTTCTCGGTGAAAAAATCAACGAACTGCAGGTTCCGCTTCTCACAGACCTGCCAAAACAATAGCACAAGAACACAAACAGGTCAAGGGTTGTACATCACATATACGGTGGTGGCAACTGACATCCGACCCCAGCTCGGTGCACTCACATTGCAAATCCGTGCTGCACTCGAGCACGAAAATCAGGGGTTGGATTTCAGTATACGGGGTATGTCATCGTATAAGAAGTTGATGGCAAACAGTACAAGCTATATTGGTCATGTGTCCGTCATCCTAGTCATATCAACGTGTCTCCCATATGGTCTAGTGGTTAGGATTCGGCGCTCTCACCGCCGCGGCCCGGGTTCGATTCCCGGTGTGGGAACATTACTTTTTTTTGCATTGTACTTTATCGCACACAGGGTTCTTCTCTCTCTCTCCCTACTGTGTGCATATTTTACAGACATCTGGGTTTGCAGCTACACGCTGAGTAAATACAAAAAGAATCATAATGGTCTGTATTCAATATAGTGGGCCAAGAACTCAGTACAGGCACACCAGTGGCATGGACCTACCTCTGCTGCTGCACCCATAAAGATATCATAGTCAGCCTTGGGCAGCTCCACACCCGGAAACAGATCGGAGATGATGCCGCGGAACAGTGGAATGTCGTGAGGTAGAAACTGCAGACCAACGAAATCATCAGCATTGCACAATGTAGGACAGAACAGGAGCAGAGCAGCTCAGAAATACACAGAAAAAGCCGTGAAGCAGTGTTGCAGATTACGCATACTCAATATTCGACAACCCAGCTCAATGCCCGGATCAATCAATCTCACATCACATGACAAAGAAACCAACATCAAAACAGGGAAACAACAATAGCCAAGGAATCCTAATGCTTTTGGTAGAGAGCTTGAAGTTCGTGTTTTTCTTGTCCCAAAAAAGATGATCAACTACAAATTTGACAGACCTTGGCATAATGTAGAACCAATAATTATTGATCTTGCTTCAAAAGCCATCCGATGCATATTTCTCATTAGTGGCCAGTTTGTCCATGCCACAACCGGTCCGTCCATGCACTAACCTTTGGAAGATTGACATCAATGATGGAGCGCAGCAGCTGCAAGAGACAAACAGTGAAACACAGTGACACACATGGTCAGAGCAGAAGCACAACCGAGACTGCCACAGAAACACGGGGAAAGGACAGGCGCAGCAAATGCTTTACTTACAGTCCAAGTAGAGCATAGGACATGAGTAGTGATACTTCATCCTACACAACAAGCAACACTATGTGTAACTTACAAGAAAACTAATGAGAGTTCTCGCACAAACATCGGATTACATTGAAGTATGACATGTAGTTCTATTCAACGGAATCTTACCAACACATTCTCATCGTCCGTGGGGAATTTCAACTTCAGGTTTCCAGCAGCGGCAAGTACGGCCTTTACAGCGCGCATACCGTAATCGTAGTGAAATTGAGATGACAACTGGAATGGAGAACGATCGGAACAAAAGTACACTTACCACCTTGCACAGATTCATGAATGTACCGCAGTTTATGCACAATCAATAAAGTGATATACATGTAGCTGCAAACAAACACAATGCGCACTCACATCGAAAACATAATACAGAAACATGTTCGTGATATGAGTGTGCATCATATCATATTCATTGCTAAATCACAACTAACGTTATTGCCTTTACGCCATCTATTCTGTATAATTTTCAGGGTCCATTTCGATTGTGCGGGGGAGGGTATGTTAAGTCAACCTGACACCTCTTCCCTTATTGGAAAGAGTAGCATTTTATCACTCATACTACATGCAGTAGGAGCTGCACCTGTGCCTTGGCCCTTGAAGGTTGTTGGCGTCACTACGGACGCAGGAACTAAATGAATCATGCTTGCGGCGCCTCACCTGCTCAGAACAAAGTCGATATGTGGTGACGATCTTGACGGAAAGGTTCCTGGCGTCGACAAAGCCGTATGAATAGAGCATGATCTCGCCAATCAGAGCATAGTCGGGGACCATCATAGCCACAGTACGGAACAATACCTGGAGTCAACGAAACAACAACAACAACAAAAAAGCATCCCTGATGTTGTTGGGTGGTGACAACATACCGGTAACAGTTACTGGCCAAGGCTTCCCAAAAATGGGTATGGATGAGATCACGATGACATTGTGCACGAGATCTATAGCAGCATCGCTCTCATCGCCGACACCCCGTGAAATCCCCCAACTCTGGGTGGACTTGGAAATGATCCCACATATGGGCTCACCACACCTCAGTAAGTGGTCGAGGACAAGGTGCAGAAAAAGGATTGACGGCATCAGGGTATCCGTCCCGGGATCCAACTGCAGTCACCCCTGCCCCCAGTGAAGGTAATACTTGCTACTAGTGTGGGTGGCTAAATCAGAGTTGACCTGATAGTAAGCTTCACTAACACCATACACACACACACACACACACACACACACACACACACACACACACGACACACGGCACACGACACACGACACACACAGGTGCAGCACTCATGCTCCGCTATCCCATGTAATCAACTGACCTTGAGATTGTCCGGTAGCTCTGAACGGCCTGCATAACCGGGGTTCATCGTGATACACACATAGCAACTGGGAACCAGCGCAATCTCCGTGCCTTCAAAAATGAAGCGCTTCATTTTGCCTCGGACGGCCCGAATGATCGAGAGAATCTGCCATGCAAAGAAAACATATTAGACCAAAATCAGCCGGTGAGGGAAGAAAAATGAAGAAAAAAACAATGTGCGTCGCCCGGGAATCGAACCCGGATCAACTGCTTGGAAGGCAACTATGCTAACCATTACACCAGCAACGCCTCAACATACACCACTAGATATACCATGATTACCAGGAGTCAATATCATGGAAAAACAGAATAGATTGCAGTACCCCGGGCATAAAGCGGGATTCACAGAAGCTTTTTTGCGGTGCGACACGCGATGCGACGCGATCTGCGACGGACGCGTGCGATGCGAACTCGCGAAATACCATTCACAGAAGAAGTCAGCGATGCGACAAATTTTTGCAAAGTTCTGCTGATTTGGGTACGTCACCATGATATTCACGCGGTTTGGTACAACCTGTACAAATTTATAGGCAACTCTTGAACCTTTGTACAACTTTGCTGTAGAAAAGGTCAAAATCGTACGCCAAATCGCTTGTCGCATCACATCGCATCCCAAAAGTTGAGCCAAGCTCAACTTCTGCGATGGCCTGCGATGGCCCAGTTGCGGCAGTTGCGTGGGGTGCGACATGGCTGCGATTAGGGGTTTTCCCGGTTTCGCGCCTGTCGCATCGCGTGTCGCATCGCAAAAAAGCTTCTGTGAATCCCGTTTTAGGGAGGTTCCGGAGTACGATTTTTCGTGCCAAAATCCGTAGAGGCGCTACGGATTTTTTATACGTCGTTTTCGAGCAGTGAAATGTTCCGGAGTACGGAACTTACGTGTTTGCCGCCATTGCCTAGGTTACGATCGCAAACACGTCACATTCCCGCGCTATGCCTTTTTATTTTGAAAATTTGTACCGAAATCAAAACTTCCCGCGGAAAATCGATGTTTCTCGTACCAAATTTGTACGCGAAAATCTTTCTGCACCCGATGACGCAAAATCTCCATACGAAACATGGTTCGTGTGAAAGCCAGTCCACACGGATTCTCCGTGCCGAAAAATCGTATGGAGCACGCCTGGAAAAAATCCGTAGAGCCCATACAGATTTTGGCACGGAAAATCGTACCCCGGAACCTCTCTATTGTGGCACGTTACTGTCCGACAGGTTAGCCCCTGAGACAGCACACTAATCTGTCAGACAACAGCATGACATATCGCTTTCTGTGATGTGACGTGCAAATCCCACTACATCAATATGCAGTGCACATGCTGCTAGGGTTTACTGGGTGTTAGCGGCCGCCGTGAGTTCCCCTCGGAAACGGACACAATAGTTACTAGATTTAATATGCATGTTACTATGCACCGCAACTATAGACACTGCAGAAACCGAAAAACTTGTAAATCGAGCGATGCAATCGAGAGTTTTTTCTGCAAAATTTTGCATCGCAGGTTGTTGCAGGTCGCATCACGGGAAGTTGAACCAAGTTCAACTTCTGCGACGAGCGACGACCGATACCAAGAGTACATAACCCCCCAGAGTGTGCAACTCCACTATGGGTGCTGTCCCGACAGAATTTCAAGTTGACGTCATTTTGATGATGCAATGCGCACTGTACACGGATTATCAGACGAATCCGGAACCTGTGGTTGACCGAAGCCGATCGATCCTGTACAAATTATTGGAAAGAAAAACGTGTGATGCGTTGACACCCGTACACATGTTGTAAATCACTGGTGCAAGGAGCATTGCGTCATAAATAATGACGTCAACTTGAAATTCTGTCGGGACAGCAGGGTATGTGGGAGTTGCACACTCTGGGGGGTTATGTACTCTTGCCGATACGCATCACTTTTTTACACTGCAGTCGCAAGTGGCACAAGTGCTCCGGCTCGAGTTCGAGTACGGTTTTGGACTGTGCGTGTCCTGCAAGGTTTTGTTGCGATGAGCCGTGCACTGTGCATCGAAGACTCTTCGCGCGAAATGAAAAAGACTTTCACTCGACGCTCATCACATCGCACAAGTGATACCGTGCACCGCGCTTT